TTCGCAGGGAACCCCCCCCCCCCCCGCGCACGCGTACCATTACCTTATGGTCAGCAGGGGTATGCTGATGATGAGTCGTACGGCGAGAGGGAGCCGGGTCCAGAGGACTATGACTCGGACGACTCTTTAGATGATCAGGACCACGCACAGCCTACGGGTCCTATCCACCATCGTCCTACTATACAGCCAGTTCGTCCGGTACAGCCGGTTGTACAGCCATTTCGTCCTGCTGTTCGTCCCACACAGCCTGCTCCTCAACGGCAGGCTGGGGGGCGTTTTGGCCCTTCTGCATCCTCATCAGGTAAATAATTTACTTATTTATTATTGTTTAACATAAATTATCGGTACTGTTAGAAAAGTATTATCGGCCTGCTCGTCAACTACAGTATAATTATTTTGTAATTTAGGGTAAGTTGAATAAATTGTAATTAATTATAAATTCAAAAAATAATATTAATAATTATAAATTATATATGCTTATAATAATAACGTAAAACGTAAAATGTAAAATGTAACGTAACTAATAAAATATGTTTTATTAAATATATTTTATTTAATGCATCTGCCAGCAAGTCAATATATACAGATATGTTGTATTTTAATGCAGGTACTAGCAAACGAGCTAGGACAAATGATGATGCACCTTGGATCGTTAGAGGCCCAGTGCCCGGTGGGCCCATTGATGGGAGTGTCATCCCTAGCTTTCTTGGGCACGTCGCCTCCCGCATGTGGAGTGGGAATTTGAGGGGGCTACTGAAATGCCACAACAGAGTGCGAGCGATCGATAATCTGAAGGCTTGGCGTGAAGAGATGTCTCCCGATGCTAGAGCTCTTCTCGACCAGACCGGGCTGTCACATTTGGTCGACTCCATGCACACCCAGTTGGACACCCCACTCCTTTCTGCTTTTGTGGAGCGATGGCAGCCGGATACTAACTCGTTTCACATGCCTTTTGGTGAGATGAGCATCATGCTGCACGACGTCCGGGCCATTTTGGGCGTTCCAGTTGAGGGAGTCGTGGTCGCTGAGGACCCGGATTCGGACGCCTGCCATGGGCTCTGCATGTCGATACTTTCGGTCACCAAGGGCGAACTCATGAGTTCGTTCTGGCAGCGTGGTTCGGTGTCCGAAGCCGCCATTTCGGGGGCATTCAGGGGGAAAAACCGGCCGGCTAGGGATGAGGCGGGTGCCTGGCTGTGGGTGATGCTGGCTACCACATTGTTCGTCGACAAGAGTGGTAGTAGAGTGACCCCCAAGCTCCTGCACGAGGTGCTCGACGGCTTGGATTTGATTGAGGGTTACTCATGGGGATCGGCTACGTGGCATACTTGTACAGACAGCTAGGTATTGCCAGCCGAGGGGACTCTGCCCAGATGTCGGGGTGCTTGACTCTTCTACAGTCTTGGATATATGAGTATTTCCCCGATTTCCGACCCCGAGGGCGTCTACCCATCGGTCCTGACTGTCTCGCACGATCACGCTCGTGGGGCGTAGGGAATGCGCCACGGTCAGACGATCGGCTCACAGCCATCCGTCGGCGCCTCGACAGACTCACTGCCTCCGATGTACGTGAATTTATTTTATTTAAATTTAGTTATCCGTTATTTAAAATAACATAATTATTTTTATAAATTCTCTTATGCAATTGTGAACAGGTGCAATGGTTGCCATACGGCAGCTCCAGCCCAGATGCGATAGAGCCGAGGACTCTTTATAGCGGATGGATTCGATACCGCGATGTCGTCGAGCCGTACTTGCCTTCGCGGTGTCTGCGTCAGCTGGGGTATGTCCAGACTGTCCCTCCCCCTATATTCCCGCCAATCAGTGCAGTACGTGCTTGGGAGTCTAGAAACTACAAGGTTGAGCATTCTGAGGCTGGTGCAGTATCCCTCTGGACCCAGTTCCCGATGTCTGGGACGGTCAACACAAGTATGTTGACCCAGACCACACAGGATCGCGGGGAGGCGACTGAGGATTACCTGCAGTGGTACAGTCGGGTTTCCCATCCGACTCTCATGGGCGAGGAGCTGCCGGACGAGGACGAGGTCCCAACGCGTGTCAATACCGCCTATGTAAGTTGGTTACTAAATTTTAATTAATGTTAACTCATTACAAAATTTTTATTTAAACAAATTTAAGTCTTATGTTTTTATTCTTTCATTTTTTTAGTGGGTGGACCGTCTTTTGGGCATTACATCGACCTTGCAGCAGATTGTTCCAGACTGTCCGGAGGCGGCGGAAGTTGAAGAACAGCTGGCTAAGTTTAAGTTCGATTACGACAATGCCCAATAATAATGTAATGAATGTTTTTTTTTTAATTATTATTGTAAAACATTAAGTTGAATGTTTTTTTTTTTTTTATTTTGCTAAACTTAAGTTTATTTTAAAACATTAAGTTGAATGTTTTTTTTTTTTGCTAAACTTAAGTTGAATGAGAAGCGTCACACCACAAGTGAATAATATCGTTCTTTTATTCAATAACCTTTTGTTTGAACAGTGTACCACAATTGCAACCTAGGCAGGTACTGATGCTCCCAACCCACTACCGATTGATCTCGGTAACGAAACCACATGCCATGAATAGGCGGTAATGGACAATCATCAGTCAAATCTAAACGAATGTAGTGTTCAAAGCGACCAAGATGGCAAATGGCAATCTCACGACATGGTCCTCTAGCCGATGATCGTGCAGTGAGAGGCAACACTGTGGTGCTGAATAAGTCGTGTTGCCCACTGTTTGGACCAGAGCTCAAATGAACGACAACCACATTAAATAGGGTCGCAACGGCAAAGAGGTCCTGCGGAACTTCGAACCAGTGAGTCGATGGACAAGAGCCTTTGGGCCACCTTATGCGACGGAGTCCGTCCGGGATATCTCTAAAATAGATGTACTCGTACAATTCAGGGTGGTTCTCGACCTCCTTCGCAATGTTTTCTCTTGCATCTGGCCAGTACTTCTGATGACCATACATGTGACTCGCGATGACCCGAAATCCGCAGTTACCATCCGCTTCCACATTCAGGTAACTCACTACGTAGTCCAACATATGCCAGGGGATACATTGCCAATATGAAAATTCAAAAATATTTGTCGGTCTGAACTCTGCAATAAATATCATAATAATTTCACGTCACAATTTATATAATCATATAAATACTTTAATTAACGCTCAACCGTATTTAAAAAAAAAAAAAATGTATGACCTTCATCCCCTTGTGACTGTTGAGAAGACGAACTTGTCTTTCCACGCGAAGAATTGGTCGTACGGCTCGATTTCCGACCTCGCGATTTTTCGTTGTGCTCAAAAGCAGATGGTTTACGCTTCGTTGAATTAGTTTTCTTGGGACGACCTCGCGGGTTATCCTTAACCTCAGGTTCCGCATAATCCTGTTGGTCTGGGTAAAGATGACTGTACATGAACTGATTCACGTACCGCATCGTCGCGGGATCGCGGGTTTCAACCTCAGTCACAAGCGTCTGAAAGAACGCCGCATCTGACCATGCAGCGTTGCTCGCCTGGCTCGGATGACCAGTCCCTACAAGTGTACGATAAAAAAGTCAATGAATTAAAACAAATAATGTATTTTAATTGAAAATTATAAAAAAACATTAATCTTAAATTACCTGGCTCTAATATCTCGAGCGTTCTCCAGAACTGGTGAATCATTCCGAGATCAATCGGAACGTCGAAATCTTCTGAGTTACGGAGGAGACAGGCACAAGGAAGTCCATGAGTGAGCTGTAATACACAACCGCAGCTCGTGTAAACATCGGTGTCCAACTTTTTCATCCTCGTAAGCTCAGCGTCCAATAAACTCAGACAGTAATGCGAGACCCTGAGTATCACGC